ATATATATGAAAGGATATAACCCCTCCCCCTTTTTTTTAGTGTTTACAATTCTTCTCGTTCTCCCGGTAATCGCCTTCGATATTCCTCGACTTCGACTTCGGGTTTTGGACTTTTGACTTCGTCTTCGACGGAAACGGAAACGGAAACGTAGCCAAAATGCGACGCCCTGCAGTCGCCCAACCCCCGACCCCCTATTTGCCCACGCCACTGGTTTGTTGTTATTTTTCTGGTGTAACAATAAAATTTCCTTTTTTTTTGCAAGGAAAAAAACCGGAGAAAAGTAAATGAAAAGGAATCAAAGGCTGCAATATGCCGCCCAGCAATGTTGACGCCGTCTTAACCCTCTACCGCCCCCCTCTAAAACCCCATCGACACCGTCTGTTGCTGTAGTTAAAAAAAGAAAAGAAAAGAATGAAAGAAAGCCACAAGCAACACCGGCAAGCAATTGTTGTGCTGTGTTTGGGTTATTTCTCCACGTTTTTTTCCGTTTGGTTTTCCTATTCTTCATTTTTTTTCCTCTCTTGTTATTTTCATAAACTTTCAATAATTTTTTACTTTTGCCCATTGGCTGGAGGGCGCTGTAATCGAAAGAGGTGGCTATATTGGTTTAAAAAGGATAAGAATTTTTCTCGATTATTTTTATGTTGATGTCCATTTTTATTGCCCGCCAGCTAATTGCAAACTATTGCCCCAATAAAGTTGGCTTATATTATATTATATTTCTGGGTATTAGAAATTATGACAGCGCCGGGCAATTTGCGCCTGCTCCCCCGTAAATCCCCAAATTTATAAAGACCAGAAGGTTTTCTTCTTTGACAAGTGTATTTTTGTTAGTATCTTCTTCCACAATTAGTTGGCCAAAAGGTAGTCTTCATACGAGTCGAAACGTCTTAGAGTTGATTGACTGGCGGTGCAGCACGGGAATTTTGATACAGCAAATTTGTTACTTCGAATTTGGAACCTTTGTATCTAGTCTTCTTATGTCATATCGCCCTTGAGAAAGAGGTCCTTCCTAAGAGATGGTCGTATCAGCTTCAACCGGCTCGTTCAAAGTGTAGTTAGGTAAGCAAGCTGAAAAAATGAAATATATTGTTAGTAAAATAAATGTATATACATTTATAGAAGTTATTACATACTTCAATCTTTTATTCCTTTATAACGTGTTGGTTTCAGTGTAAGTTTTAGTATTCCGTGTTGATACTTGTGTTGTTTTGCCTTTATCTTGAAGTGTTGATATATTAGTATTCTTCCAGTGTTGATATAGTATTATTCTTACAGTTTTCGTATGTTATTATTCTTCCAGTGTTGATATATTATTATTCTTCCAGTGTTGGTTTGTATTCCAGTGTAGCAAACAGAAAATGATAAATGAAGCCAGCTTCAGGCTGGCCGAGCTTGAGATGTTGGACACCCTCGAATACTTTTGACACTTATGACTATTAACACTTAATACTATTTAAACTTTTACACTTTATGCTTAAGCCTAATAGAATATGAACTGAACAAAACAAACAGGACAGCACAAACTAAAAAAATGTTCACCGAAAGTAGACTGAAAATATTTTTGTAGGTTTTAATTTGGAATTTTGAGTTGTTACCTCTACGAGATGTGTGTGTTGACTGAATCCTGAGGCGATCGGGCGGCCTTTTATAGGGGACTGGGAATGACATTTCAAAGCCCAGCCTGCTGTGATCTGAAAAATTTGTGAAAATTTAACAGGCGACACTTCATGGCTTCCTGAGATATATATATAAATATATTTAAAGCAGCTTTCTATTATTTGAATTTAGCGATTTGTTCTGTCCAACCTCTGCCACTTTCGTACACTGTAGAACAGCAGTCTGTAAACAGGCACTAATGAGCTGCCCCGTGCAATTTATTATTTAAAGCATTAAGTTATTTATTAATTAATAAATATATTTATTTCCTTTCTTATTTTTAGTTTATTTAATTTTTTATATTTTTTTAAATAAGCTTTATTTAATTTATATTTATTTATTTAATATTTATTTATTTATTTAATATTTTATTATAAATGTATATACTATAATTTTACATAATATTTAATTATTAACCTATTAATTTTCATATATATTATATTAGATTATTTTAGATTTTTTAAAAGGACCTCCAGGTTTTTGTAGCTCATCCGTCGAACCTTTAAGACTGAATATTTTCACTCAAATTGCCGCTGAAGATTTTGTTACCCAAGTCGAAATTTCTTAGCTGTGTTTCTTTTTTTTTTGTTGTTCTTCACCGACTCCTTATTAATTTTGGTGCAATTTTTCGCCCCTTTCGCTGGCGGCCCCCTGGAAATCCTTTCACCACGCCTCCCCCTTTTCCCGCCCGCCCCTGGACTTTGCTTGTTTATCCTTGTTGTTTTTGGTGGGTGGCCGCCTGCTGCTTATCGTAATTCATTTGGCATTCTTGTTACCCCTTCCCTTTATTGCCCAACGATTCCTGGCAAGGCGGTCCAACATTAATTTCTATATTGAATCCTTTTCTTTTTCCTTGTTTTTTTTTATAGACTTTCCACAGACTTTTTCGCCTCCTCCCATATTTTTTGGATTTTTTTTGTGCTTTTTTTTGTTGCGTGCGACGGATCGCGTTTTCTACCATTTCCATCTATCTTTCGCTTAAATTGTCAGTTAAGCGACTTTCGAAACACAATGCCGCGACAAAAGCAAAACTTTACACGCACGGAAACCCGGGGATTGGGATTGGAATGATACGAAGTACGATGTGGCAGTGGGATTGAATTGGCTGGATGGATCGGCTGGGGTTCCCATCGTGGCTTATAATTTGCGATGGGAAAATCCACGATGGAGAAGGTGTACCTATCTGTATCCCATGGATGCGTGTGCTCCCCCCTTTTTTGTTTCCCAGCACTTAATGGATTCTTGGTTCGGTCAATGTTTCCACTCGATATTTAAATATGGTTTAGATTTAATAAGCACTTGAAGTCGTTTTATAAATATATAGGTATAAATATGGTTCTTATGACATAAACATTTATTCAATTGTATTAAAGAAATATATAGCAATTGTATATAAACAAATTTAGTAATTATCCATTGATCTAAAAATATATTTCTAACATACGGTTCTATACCTTAAACATTAATTTAATTGTATATAAAATTATTAAAAAATTTAGTCTATTAACCATCTATTTACAAATATATTCCACACTCCGATAAGCTTTTCTATCCCCACTCCCTGTTTTTTATTTTGTTCACCCCACGGAAGTTGACATTAGTCCGGGTAAAAAGAAAAAAATAATAGAAAAAAACTAGACAAACACAGAGAGTGGCGAGATGAAAGGTCTACACATGGAAATTAAAAAATAAATAAAACGAAATGAAATGAAATGAAATAGAGTGGGGAGAGATAGGAAAGACATTCACCCAGACACTCAAGACAACACAAAACACAACATCCACCTTTTAATTGTGGTAAAAATGGAGTAATGACGGAGCTCGGCTCGTCTTTCGGTTTCGGAAGTTGGCATTTTGACTTAGTATTATGTACTATTATTGTTATTATTTTAGTTACCCAGAGCGGCCTTAGACAAACAGAAAGTCCGCATTGCATGCCGCTCACTCTCTGGGTTTTCTATGGGTTTTTTTCTTTTTTTTCGGTGGCTCTCAAGAGGCTGAGTTGGTGGGGTCACCACTTTACCGCCACCAATCTTTCTACGCAACCACATCCGGGGGAAGTAGCACTGAGTCCAAGTCTTCGTCTTGACTTGAAGTCTCGGCTCCCACACACACGTGAGCTTGGCTTTGTGGAAAACACGAGAAAGTTCACTGGGTCAGGCCCAACCAAATCGGAGGGCCAGTTATCACTTGAAGATATTAACCAGAACATTGCCTTCGGTCGCTCATTCACTTGGCACTTTCGAAAGGAGTCTTCTGATGACTGTGGGAAATGTGTGAACTTCGGTGGAAAAAGTTTAAAAGTTGTACTTAGGATACTAATTAAGTTAAAGCTGAAAACTTGAAAATCGACTTGCAAATTAAGAAGTTAGAGGTTCTAAAAATTAAGCTATCAAAAAATATATCTAAGAAATTAATGAAGATTTTACAGATTTAAACAGCAAACTTTTCCTAAAAAATATTTAAAGACCATAAATAAACTGCAAAAATATTAAAATCCTTTAATCTTTTTAAAGTATTTAAAATACCCTTTATAAATTGAAAAAATATTGCACTTCTTCAACTTTTATAAAGTGTTCTTAAAAAATATACAAAGAAACCCAAATAAATTGGCAAAAAATTACAAATCTTTTTTTTCAAGAAAATATTTCGATTCTTTATATTTACTAATATTTGATACATTTCCTGCCTTTTCTCTTTGCTGTTGCCGATTTGTTGTTTATTAAAATTCGCATGTCGTCGAATTTGACATACGCCTGTCAGACCCTGGAAATTACATTTATTTTTTCTCTCTCCCAATCGTATTTTTTTTCTTTTTTCCTTCCAAAGGAGGAAACTTTTTTTTCGGCTATAAGAATATATATATATTTTTTTTGAGGGTCGTCTGGGGTGTTGGCAATCGGTTGGTTTTCGGCAGTTGGGGGAGTGCAGGGTACTGGCAAGTCCATCAATCATCAGTCACACATCCAAAACGGAGCAGAGCTGCGCACTCAACGTAACATTCAAATCAATCACAATGCGACTGCGACTTCTAACTGTTATGTTTATATACTTATTTTCTTTTTTTTTTCCTGTTTTAGGGGAAAATTTGAGCCCTCAGTTGTATGCAAAACGCAAATCTAATTTTTCATCGAATGTGTATATGTATGTGGTGCATGCATGAATTTCCCTGATGAAGTTGTTCGAAATAATGAGTAATGTGCCCGATTTCTGGGCAAAGTGGGGTGGTAATGCTCATATGGCGTGCAAATCCATATGGCAGTTGGTTCCTAACTTTTTCTTTGGTTTTCTTACAACCAAGTAGACCATGGAATCTAATTCCTGCTGTCCTAGACGAGCTCTGAACTTTCACACTCATTCAGTCATTGCCTTTCACAACAAAAGCACTAGTTTTGGTAGAGAACAAAAATATATAAGATTTTTACTTGTGAATAAATATTTTTTTTCTTTTTGGTAAGTTTTAAATAAGTTTCTAAGTGGTTTATCGCTGATCCTTTCATGTAAGACCATCGAAAGTGTCTGGCAAGAATGTTTCCCGTGAAGCAAAGGTCCTTCGTAATGGTTGGAGTGCGATCCTTCCGTTTGGGCTTCAATTACAAGCTGATGAATCGCACCAAGGGCTGTGACAAGACCTCGGCTACTGTGCTCACTAGTCATCTGTCCGGGGATCGAAAGACGGAGCTGCTGCCCGAGGAGCCGCGCAAACCGGAGGATCTGCTGCAGCATTTGGGCCCCCAGCGCAATGAACTCGAACAGCGAAAGATCCGGAAGGCCCAGTACGAGTCGCATTTGAAGGAGCTGCTCCACCAAAGACCCTCCGACTCGGAGTTGGCCATCCAGTGCGTGCCCTTCGTCAAGACCACAACTGGCCCGGAAAATCCCCTGAAGCGGCGTTACGATAGTCCCGAATCGCTGCTCGAACAGGTCAGTGATCCCAAGGAATTGGCCAAGGAGATCATCAAATTGGCCCGCGAGTTGCACACCGAACGGCAGAAGAACGAGATTGTTATGCAAAATTTCCTAGATCTGGAGGAAACTTTGTTTCTCAAGAATTCGGCTTCGAACTCGGCACCCAAGAAAACAAACAATAATCCCGATGATGGCAAGAAAACCAAGTGAAAGCTGCAGTTTCGGAATAATTTGCGTGTTTTCTTCATTTCATTTAAAATTTTTTGTACATTTTGGCCACCCTGATAATGTTTCTATAATATAATTCATATTTCGGTAACAAAAGAATTTGTTTCGATTTTTGTTATGGAAAGTTGGCTTCTTTTAAAATTAAATTAAAATTTGTAATTAAATTTATTTTTTGCAAATTGTAGCAACTCTACAGAATCTATAAGTAATAGAACCTTGAAAAAGGAATTAAAACCACATGCCTAATATTTTACTATAAAATTTGTTAAACGAGTTAAAATTTTTTTTTTAAATAATATAATATTTGGAAAACCAAAATTTAATCAATAGAAAATATAACTTTTCTTTCTTCAATCATGAAGGTTATCCAATGAAAGACGAACCTTTGCAAAGCCCGGCTTTTCCTCCAAGTGAAGTTCGGCAACGGCGAGGAAATGGCCGAGATGTCACTTGACTAAAAATAGCGATGTGATCGCATATAAATTATAATTGAAATTATCCATACACTGGCTGGCTGATAAAGAGCGCTGCCTCGAATCAGAATCAGAATCTGGATCCGAGATATATATGATATATATATGAGGCATATGAGGACGGGGGAACGAAACGAAACGGTGCTGTTGATGACTTGATTTCAAATTTGAAATGATATTTTAAGAAACTAATGCCGGGATTCGGTGAAGCGGGAATGTGCGGGGGCCTGTCTTATCCACCCTCGAAACAGACCCCACAACTGCCCCACCAGATCTCCACCCTGCGACACTTGGTGGGCATGTTAAATGTCATTTAATAGTTGACAGTTGCACTTGCTTTTGCTGTTGTTGCTGCTGCTGCAATGATTATTATTGCAGTTTATTTTTTGTATCTAGCAAAAATTTATGTGTAGGTGGTTTTAAATTTATGTGCTCGACGTTGTCGTTGTCGCTGCTGACGCCAAAAACAAGTCGCGAAAAAATTCTTTTGAATTTGTTTCGTTTTTCTTTAATAAAAGTAAATTTTATTGCTTACACTAAAAATGCATTGCCCGTGTGTATTTGCTGTAGGCTAATGCTCTCGTCGTTTCTGAGATACAGATGCTGAGCAGCGAAGAAAAGATACATTTACAGATAGAAATACAAATACGTATGCTGATGCAGATCATTTGCTTATTGAAGACATCCTGTGACTTGCATCCGCTTTTGTCTTTTCTTCTGGCGCACCAAAAAAATAAAAAAATCATGACAAACAATTAAATAAAACTAAAAAACGTGTCCATTAGGCGGCGTCATCTGTGTGGAATTTCTAGTAAAATGGGGCAAACTTAACTGTGGCTTCGCGGAAACTAACTAAAATACTTGCCCAATGCTTATCAACAATTTATGTTGATCCATAAGCGTGGCAATCGTAAGCTCAAATATTTATTTGGAAATTATGAAATATACTTAAATTATTAAAATGTAAAGTATAGATAAGCTACTTCTTAATTGCTAAAGTTCTTGGAATTTACTAAGTGTGGCAAACATTTTGTAAGAAACTATGAAATATTTATAATTTGTTAAAGGGTAAAATACATAAAGCTGTTCCTAATTAATCTTATATAAAAGCAAACTCGCAAAATTTCTTAGAAAATAAATAAAATATTTGCTTAAATTTTCTTTAAAATGTATAAAAATTCCAAGACATTCCTAATCAAAATATCTTCTTCCATTATTAAATAAGCGCTTAATTTATTTGATATTAAAGCAAATTTGCTACCACTTTTATGGGTTTTTGTTTTGCCATGTGAAAACTTTCCACCGCCCAACAATTACTTTGGGCGAACTTTGATCGCTGCTTTGATTTTCACGCAACTTGCCGGCGATCTCTTGGCTCTTTGACCCTCAGACCAAAGGTGGAAAGAAAGTTTCTGTTTATTTTGGCAAATCACAAAAAATGGCGATGGTCATGGATCACAGCCCAAAAAACACGAAGAAGCCAAGACACAAAAATTATACAGAAAATACAGGCGTACAGTTGCGGATAAGCCGAAATCAGTCAGATATTCAGCTGGTTTGTCAGTTAGTCATTCAGTCACTTAGTCAGTCGGTCAGCCAAGCGTCTCCGAGTTCAAGTTGTCTTATCGGTGGTGCTGCTCAAATTCCACCTGCTCTTTTATTTTTTCGGCTCTGCGCCATTTTTGAATTTCGTTTTCTGGACGAATGCCTCTAATATGAGTTAACAAAAAATATAAACAAAAAAAAAAAATCGACGAAGAGAAACAGAACATAGAAAATGGAAAAGAAATGAAAACATTTTTCAAATTTTATGCTCATTGTTAGTTATGTATTTTTTATTTTCGGGTTTTTGTTTTTGGCTAATTAGCGTAGCCCCTGGGAAATGGAAATGGGAATGGAAATGGAAATGCCTCGGCCTCCGCCCGCAGCTCTCAAAAGTCGAGTTTCCCTTGAATACACCACTCATATAATCCCACATTCACATCCACATCCCCACATCCACATCCATATCCATATCCAGGTTATAGTCGCTTTTTTTTGCATAAATTAAATATTTTTCGGTTGGGCCATTTGCCGGTGGGTGGCTTTTTGGCCCAGTTGACTGGGCATTCGAAGGTGAGCCGAGAGCATTTCGGGAATCTCAAGAGTTTGTAGGGGAATGCAATGCCCATGGCAAATGGTGGAGGAAACTCCAGTTTGAGTTTGAGTTTATGGGTGAGAGGTTCGGAGGATTTCTGGTCTTAATTCGAAAGATAATAATTATTCTAATAGCATGACAGGTAAGTAAAGAAAGCTATTAGTTATGGAAAAGCGTTAATAAACTTTATATTTTAGATTCCAAAATTATGAGAAAGTAAACTAAAATGATTAAAATATTATTCTAAACTTTAAACAAACTTCCTTTTTCCTAATATTAAATATAAATATTTTTTTTTAAAACGAACTAACTTTGGTTATAGAAACACCCTAACAAAAGTTGCGTAGCGAACCCAAGAGATCCGAAAGTTATTAAAGCGTAGATGCGTATATATACTTATATATTGTTTTAGTGGGCTTTTGGCGCTAGATTCACACACTAAAAAAATTAGCTGGCCCCTTCTTTGTTGTTATGCTCGCATTTAGCTTATTACTATTATGATTTTGTATATTTTTCACGGCGCCGCCATTGTGGCTGCCCATTTGCCGGGTTCAATGACTAATTTATGAAAGTTGGCCTGACTTGACTTTAATTTTGGGTTTTTGGTTTTTTTTCGGTTTTTTGTGTTTCGGGGGGAAGAGATCAAAACTCAGACCACCGGAAAGCAGCCAAGTGTTTCGCAGGCAAATATGTATAACTAGGCGGATTCCAGATCACACAAATAGACTTCCATCGAATAAGTGTGGTTTTCGTTTCGTTTTGTATTTCTTTTTTGTATTATTTGTGATATGATACAGATGCCCTAAGAACTTTCACCGACCCACAATAAAAGCAGCGAGGATCTGAGGATTCCGGGAAGAGGATATTTTTGTTTGCCTGTGAAATTTCGCGTTCACTTGTTGCGGTCGCATTTATAGGGCTCAATATATAGATTACACGACCTGAGGTTAACCGACCTGCCGAACAGGTAGGTTGAATAGAGAACGCCGACAAAGGAGAGGTGGCACCTCCAGCAGGATCTTTGGGATCATCTCGTTTCCTAGGATATCCGGGGGGTGGGGAGTCAGCGATTTAACGCCTCTAATTGAGCCATAATGTCTTCGATATGGCCCCAAAATCGTAGTCTTTCGGACTTTGGCTCGCTTTTCGTGTGCCGACGCAGCGTTGAGAGTAAATCAATTTTTATGCCGCACTTTGCAGTTAAAGTGGCGACACACAGCTACACGGAAACAAAACTCTGGTACTTTTGATTGTAAAAATAAAAGCTAGAAAATATAAATAGAGATATATAAACTTGTTAAAAGCCTTGAAAAAACGTCTACGCATCTCATTTTTGGCTTACATTGATTATCTTCACTCGCCTCTTTTTCTCTCCGTGCACAGATGCCATCGAAGAGATACAAAGATACTCACTGGCCTCTCGTTACATTAAATATGCATCAAAAATTGATGATGATGCATTTTTAACGATTCGTGGAGATTTTTATGTCGCCAGAAATGCATTTGACAGAGCATCGAGTCGCCCCTGATGTATGGGCCCAATACACATGTCCATCATTCCATCAGTGAATCAGTCCATCACATTCGACATCTCCATCTCTCCATTTATTTGGACTTGTTTGTCGCTTGTCTGCGCCTCAATTTGATTTTAATGGCCTTTTGATAAATTCCCCCGCACCTTTACAGACCCCAAAGAAGTCTACTCTAACTCCCCGAGGAACTCCTCGAAGATGTGGAAAAACCTGGATGAATATATATATATATATATATATATATTTGCCCTTGGATCGGGTAGTACATGTCATCAGCGCTGGGCGGCGCCACTTTGCGGCGCTCACACGCTGCGCGTTAACCTGGACAGTTTGTAATTATTTCTGTGGCCAAATTGAATTGAATTAAAGCGAAGAGGTGAAGTGCACACGGAGAGCAATGGCAGAAACCATCAGGGCAGGCAATGGGTCTCAGGTGGGGGATGTGCGACGCGTTGATACCCTGGACTACGATAAAAGTTTAAATAAATATTTTTAAAAAAATATTTACGAAATAAGTTTAATTCCTTTTTAAATAGTTTTTTTATTATGCCTTATACGCATCTTTGATTTATTACCGAATTTCGGTTTTAGTTTTAGACTTCTATGTCTTACAGCTTCGGCTGCAGTTTAAACTTCTAGTTTTTTGGTTAGGACTTTTATAGTAGTAATAGATGATTATATTTCAATAAAAGTTCTCAAAAATATTTTTAAAAAATCTATAGTATAATACTTAATAATACTTAATAGATTTGATGTGTTAAATACCAACATAGCCCAATATACCCGCTTCGTATTCCGTTTACCCAGCACAATGAAGCCGGGAGTTGAGCGCAAATGAACAACGAACTTTTTGGCCACAGTTGAGTGATTCTTGGGTGTCGTCGTCATCGTCTTTGGTCTTCTGGTCTTCAGGGCCTCTTCTTCGGCGGTTGCCTGCTCATCGTCACCAGTTGG